CCATGCCAAGTAGAAACAACTCGTGGCAGGACTCACCTCCTTGTGGAAAGTGGAGTGACCACTTCCAGTGCTTTTATGCTCTTCTGAGATTTCCCTTCCTCCAGGGTCTCCCTGTAGGCTGGGCTCTGTGGCCATTTGCTTTGTGCCTAGGAACAGGGTATTTAATAATGGCCACATCTGTGGCCTTCTTTGGAGCAGCTCCCATCAGATTTAGATAGGGCCTGGGGACTGGGCTGTTTGCACAGCCCAGTGGCTCAGCTGTGTATCACCATCTGCCTCAGGGTAGCAGCAGCTCAGCCTTCCCGCAAGCCAGTACAATTGCAGACAGCAGGGTTCTGATGTGGACAGTGAAGAAGAGGGGAATCCTCTGTATTCACTGAGAAGCAGGAAAGGCTGAAGAATCAATTCCCCAGTATCCAGATGGACCGTGAGTCTCAGGGTCTGGAATGTGGAAGCCGTGGTTGAGCTGGTGACAAAGCTCCCTGAGCACACTTAGGCAGTTGACCCAGCCTAATGAAGCCACAGCTGGCCTTCTGAACAAAGGGCTGTGTCACTTCTGAGAGGTCACATATACATTCCTCAGTCTGGTCAGCACCTAGGAGCATCTCTGTTCCTCCACTTCCTTGTGTAAACACTAGAGATGAAGGTTGGGGGGAGGTGTTAAACCCCACCCTAAAAGTGAGCAACTCTTTCAATAAATGGGCAGAGGAAACACTACCTACTTGTGCTCCCTTTTGTCCTGACCAGCCTGCATATTGATACTGTGGCCATCTTCCACTGACATCAGACTCCTTTGGCCTTAGAATGCAGATTCAACACCAGAGGCTTTCCATGGAGTCTCCAGGCCTTCAGCATCTGATGGGACTGCTGAGAAGCTGGAAAGCTTCTCAGACTGAGTAGCTACTGGGTTTAAACCCTGCCTAATACAACATCCAAATGATTACCTTGTTCAGCTGGCTTGAAGAAGTGGATGTGCCTCTTTTGGACATTTTTAGTGTGAAAGAGTCTGTGGCCTTTCTTTTCTCTTTCTTTCTTTCTTTCTTTCTTTCTTTCTTTCTTTCTTTCTTTCTTTCTTTCTCTTTCTTTCTCTCTCTCTCTCTTTCTTTCTATTTCTTTTTCTTTCTTTTCTTCCTTCTTCTCCTTCTCTCTTCCTCCTTCTTCTTATTCTCCTCTTCCTCCTCCTTCTTCTTCCTCCTCTTCTTCTTCTAAGATCCCCCTGCTTCCGCCTCCTGGGTTCTGGGATTAAGGTGTGTGCCAACATGCCCAACTTAGGTGGTAGACATCTAAGTGACACCTGTATTCCCTCACCTTGTTCCACAGGTTACATACTATGTGCTCTTTTAGAAAGCCTAGTCACACCTGCTTAATCTCAGTGGAGTTTCTGACAAGTGACAAAGTGGAATTTGTGACCCACCTTGACCTCTGACATAGCTTTCCTAGGGTTATGAAGACATGACTGTTTCAAGCCTCTGCCTACCATGGTACCCTTGGTCCTCTGTAGAAGAGCAGATCCCTAGATCTGCTCTGGAACTGCACAGCCAGAATCCATGTCTCCAGGACATCTCCACAGCTCTCTTGTACTGATTTCATGTTTAAGAGTGAGTGGCTGAAACATTCGGAAGCATATGCCTCCCCAAAGCACAGAGAGAGTAACACTTATTAGAATCACCATGGAAAGGCCGTCATAGGTTGGAAAGGGTCACCTCTGCTTTGGCTGCATCCAATGCAGGCATGATGGGTACATGAGGTGTGCTCACACAGCCTATGAAGTGGGACTCCATGGTAATCACCTCTAAGTGACCCTTCTTGGAGAAAGGTTCTGGAGAATCTTTTCCTCTCTTCCATATATCTTCATCAAATTGTTCAAATCATCCATCCACTCATCTATGCATCCAACCTTCCATGCATCTATCCAGCTATCCATGCATCACTCATGCATCACCCACGCATGCACCCATACATGCACGCAGCCATCCATTCACCATGCACCCATGCATGCATGCATCCATACATCCATTTATGCACCCATGCATACATGCATGCATCTAGCCATCCTCCATGCAGCCATCCATGCATGTATGTATCCATCCATCCACCCATGCATCCATACATCTATCTATGCATCCATGCATGCATCCATCCATGCATCCATCCAGTTATGGTACTGGTCTTGTGTATGCTGTAATCACAAGTAAAAAGGCAGTAAATGTCTCTATTTGTATATCTCCTTTTGAAATATTTTTATTTCACTTTTTCTAACTAATATAGAAACAAATAATCATAAAAATAAAACTGTAAATTGTCCATTGATTATGTAATAGCACTTGGTATTGCTACAGGGGTAGATCTTGGATGAGGCCAGGTTATGGCCAGGCCTGTCCAGGCCCTCTAAGCCTCTGTGATTGCTACTGAGGCCATGAAGGCATTGGACATGACCTTGTGGCAGCACAGTGGATAGTTCATGTCTCACCTGGGAGAGGGAGGTGACAAGGCTAATGAGGAAACACCAAATAGGACAATGAACATACAGTAAGGCAGGAAGCTGGCTGAGGAAGGCAGCTAATGTTGCCACTGACCTACAGACATTTCTGTGGGGATTCTACAATCAGAGTGAACAGTTAATGGTTTGAGCTCACCTCTGAAGGCAGGGAGCTAACAGACACTAGGCTGCAGGTAAGAAGACAAATGGCTTTCCCCTCCACCTTTTTGATCCCCTCCTCAAGTCTCCTCCTCATCCCAGAATAAGATCCTCTTGGGATGAACAACTTAAGCTGAGATATCTAATCTATTCAAACCCATGCCTCGGACAGTTTCCCCAAAGAACAAAAGCGGAAGGAAGATGCTGGGTGCCGCCTAGCTGAGCACAGACTGCTCTGTCACATAGTTAGTTGCTGACTACATCCAAGACAATCACTCTGCTTTGCTTTAAGCTAAGGTGTCAGTTACTGTAATGACTGGTGACTTATGTTTTTGAGGCATGGTCACATATAGCCCAGGCTGGCTTGGAGAACTTACTTTGTTATCAAGGCTAGTCCTGAACTCCTGATGTTCCACCCTCTACCTCCTGAGTGCTGGGATTAAAGACGTGCACTACCATGCCTGGCTAATGATTTAATTTCTTACAATCAATTTGGCATTGTCTTTAGAATATGGGATGGGCCTTCTTTCATGTGTTCTCTGAGATATGGTGAGTGTCACCCAGGGGTGGGGAGTGACAAGAGGCGGGAGGTGATGGGAAATAAAGGCCTCTTGGGACTTGGCAGTGTTTTGTGTAGTCTCTAAGGAAGGGACTAGGGTCAGGGCCTCTGGACTTCAGGGATCTTAAAAATTCTTGGCTACCTTGTTCTACCTTTAAAAAAAGAAACACAAACCGTCTGGCTCTTTGACATCACAAGGAAGAAAGCATTCAGTATTATCTTTCCATTCTAGTCTGGATGTGTTGTGGTGTGTGTGGTGGACACAGCTCATGGGGATTATCAGGAGGAAGAAATGTTATATACAGAGAACAGTCGGTGTAGACCGCAGAACTATGACATATGGTGAGAACTAAGGGTCCACCACCTAGGTGTTATGCTCCTCCACCCCCCACCAACCCCAACACTAGTGATTGCTAGGCCGGAGAAGAATGAGTGGGGGCTGAGGAGTGGGAGGGAGAGAGAAGCTGGCAACTTGTGGGCTTGGCAGAACATCAGTACCATCTTTTAGAGTTCAAGTTCATTGGCAGAAGATCTAGCCACAGAGCAGCCAGGTAACTGGAGGGAAGTCACTCTCTTTCCGAGCTTCACTTTTCCCTTCTGCTCATGAGCAGGCCTCACTAGACACACCCAGAGTCTGAGAAACTTGTGTTAACAGGCTTGTGGCCAGGTGTGCTGTACCAGGTCTTCCCTGAATATAAGAGCTTAACAGTTTACTGATCTCAGGCTAGGGAAAAACTCTCAAAACTAAAACTCAAACTCTGCCTGGCTTACTCAACTGGTTTTCCATTTGGACAAGACTCAGACAGGTATTAACGAGTTAGCAACACATTAGTTAACAGTCATGGTCAATTGAAATCCGTTGTTTAGGTCAGGCACAGTCTTGGGAGAGAGGCTCAGGATAGACTTCTGGGATCCCTTGAGGTCTTTGGTGCTGAGGATAAGGTGATGTAGGTGACAATATCAGGTCCCACTAGGAGGCCTCTATCATGTCCTCTACTGTAGAATTCACTTGTGGGAAATCTATCTCCTATCTTGCCTGGTTTATCCACCAGTGGCCTGCTAGGTGTTTTCCTGGGGTTGTGGGTGGCAGTGAGGTAACTGAAGTGGTTGTGACAGGAAACAGTAGGATGTCTGGGTTGCTCTACCAAAGTTATACAAGGTACATGTATCATATGTCATAGAGCAAGCTGGAAATAGCATGGCCTTATGAAATCAAGGCTGAAGTTCAAAGTAGCTGGGCAGAGCTTCTTCCCAGGGATGTTGGTGACCATCGAAGAGAAGCCTGCATTCCCATGAGTCACCTTGCTGTTCCTTTCAGTTTTCCTGTCTTACCATGCCCCTGCACAGGTTGTTGAGTCTCCTACTTAGGGGCAATTAGAACTAGCACTAAGAGGGTGGTAACAGAACATGAGAGATGGATATACTTTACACAATCTAATCTTCTCAGCTTCCCTAGAGTAGAGCTTTCTATAAAAACAAGCTTTGGTGGGGATGTGGGAAGGGTGTCCCCTTTGGGATTCAACATCATAGCACCAGTGATTCTAGGGCCCAGGAAAGTTGGCCACAGAGGGGAAGGCCACAGGGATCCTGCCGAGAGCCCTGTCTTACATAGTGTCTGCAGACTCTTTGGGTCTTGAACATGAAGACCCAGGTATGCAAAGCTGAAGCCCCTGGCATACAAGCACCAGGTCCTGGTGCCTTTCACTCCCAAGCATGGCCTTAGGGAGAATCACTTTGGCTAACTTGGTCCGAGCTCCCTCTCTCTCACCCTTGGCTCTGGTCCCCCTTCCATCCCAAGGCTCCTCAGCAAAGAGAGAACCTTCTGGAGTTGATGTTCATTTTGGTGACGCCAATGAGCTTGAGTGGCGTGGAAAGGCTGAAAGAGGATGCCAGGGGGGAGTCACAGAAGAGGTCCGACAGCTCATCCCGCTCCTCCAGCTCAAAGGCGGCATCATTGAGCATCCTCCTGTGCAGGCGGCAGGTCTGCTCGATCTTCAGCTTGTTGATGTCTCCGCGGAGGCGCATGAGCTGCCTGGCCAGCTGCTGGTCCTGGAGCCGCATCTCTGCCTGGAAGGGGAGAAGCCAGACTTGAGTCAGCAGGGAGCGTGGCGGTCGCAGCTCTGTAAACTCTGCCGAGGACACTCATCATAGGAATCCTAGCTGATGTTAGGCATCATTGATAGGTCCATCTGGCAGCAGGCACACTTCTGTCCCAGGGAGGTGAAAAGACACTGGAACGTGTTACTGCCCAATGAAGCTTTGCGCCAGGCTAGCAACTATGTCTAAATCTTTCTCTGTGCCAGTCCTGGCTTAAAGTTCCCTTCCATCCTTTGGTATTCAAGGGGGGTGTTCAGGTGGAGAGAGACTTTGAAGAGTAATAGACACCAGATTTGGTGACATAGCTTCTGGGTGGGAAGAGAGATGTGAGGGGGGCTGAACAAAGGGGGCTTTCTACTGTGACATTAGATCATGTACGTGGGCAGCCATAACATGCTCTATTGATTATTTGAAAGTTTATACATTTTCCAGTATATTTTGATCATATCCATTTACTACTACCTTCCTCTAGCTTGCCCTAGTACCCGCCCACTCTTACAAATCTGTGTCATCAAAAACAAAAACAAAAACAGAAACCCAACTCTAATTAGTGCTGCCCACATACACATGGGTTTAGGCCTTCTACTGGGGCATGGGATTGTACCAGTGGCCATGTTCTTAAAGAGGTGTGCCTCTCCCTCCCTCTGCAGGCTGCCATTTTTTCTTTCCTCAGATGGGTTACAATTACTCACCAATAAATTTTTTTTAAATAAAGTTTCCTAAGAGCCAATCAAAAAAAAAAAATGAGCTGATATTTATAAGCTGTTTTCCTATGAAACAGGCAGAGCTAACACACTAGAGCTAATCTTCATGCTAGCTTATGGAGTAGAATTCCTTACTATGTCACAGGTCACAGATGGGGAAGTCAGAGTCAGCTGTCCAAAGGCCCTTGGTGGTAAAGCTGGGATGGGAGCTCAGACTGTGGGTTGTGAGACTGGCAACCCAGTTCTGCCTCTTAGGGAGACGGAGTCTAAGAGACAGAGCTGATCAATGCTCAGGGACCCTGTAGAGGGTTTCTGATATTTTCAGCACCTCTATTTCCTATTAAGAAAGGGATGTACTGAGAACAACTCTCAGCAGTATTTTTAAAAATCCATCTACTATACACCAAACCCTGTGGTACCTCACAGCCTCCCCCAGGTACCTGCTGTGAAGGTTTATATTTTGGAAGTCAGGATACTGGAGCTCAGAAGGCTTCAAGGTGTCCCTCAGCCTGTCACACAGCTGTGACTCAGCAGAGAAGGAATGTAACTATGGTCTCACTAGGCTTCGTGGGCAGCCAGTTCCTCATTAACAAAGCTTTGTCACTAAGACGGGCCACCAGCTGTTCCTACTTGACCCTGAGACCCAGTCCCATCCTGCCACTTACTCTGCCCACGCCTGCAAGTGGCTATTGTTTCAGTGCTTTTGTGTCCTCAAACTCGGCTCTGTGGCCTACCAGGTGCCTGGAGGAGCCAAAAGAGCCAGGAGACCCAGGAGGGACGCCCTGTGGTTATGCAAATGAATGTAAATGTTCTCTTTTCCCTATTGGGTCTGGAATACAGAGCAGAGCAACTGCCTTGGAGAAAATTAGTGAGCATTCAGTGTCCTCTCTCTCTCTCTTTCTCTCTCTCTCTCTCTCTCTCTCTCTCTCTCTCTCTCTCTCTCACACACACACACACACACACACACACACACACACACACACATTGTTTTTCTTAAATGTGAAGGGCTAAGACTCCCAAATTTAAAACCAGAATGAAAAATCTACATAACAAAACATCACCTTGGTCATTTTGAACCACAGCTCAGCAGTGTTAATGACCTGCATTGCTGTGCAACCATAGCCACCATCCAACTCCAGAAATTTTCCATCTTTCTCAACTAAAATATGTCCTAATTAAAAAAAGAAAGAAAGAAAGAAAGAAAGAAAGAAAGAGAGAGAGAGAGAAAGAAAGAAAGAGAGAAAACAAATTCCCCATCCCCTCCCTCCGGCCCCTGACAAGCCCATCCCACTGCCTGTCTCTATGAACTAGATGACCGGAGAGATCCTCCTCCCCTCACACCCTCCTGAGCAGGAGTCTTGTAACTGGTTTATTTCGTTTCCCATCATGCTCTCTGGGTTCACATGATTGAGAGGCTTTTTATACTACATTTCCTTAGCAATGACTAAAGGACACAGGTCACTGTGGATAACATGGATGACCGGACTCTCCCATTCCCTGGCTCCCTGCACTTGACCTGTACTGTTTCCCAGTCTTTTCCCCAACCCCAGGCCAGAGGCATCACATTTACTGTCTTACAGATGAGGAACCTAACTCAGGCCCAGCCCTCCTGGGAATGGTGACATTCAGATATCATCTGAGTCAAGCAGTGGTTCTCCCAGGGCCTGGAGGCAGCAGACTTTGTAGGGAGACCCTGTTGCAAGTGGGGCTCCTCTCCTGCTAGCTAAACCAGTCACTAATGCCTGAGTTTCCACCTCCACTTATCCAAGAAGGGGCTGATGAAGTTCCCAGACCAGACAAGAAGTTGTATGTATCTAGACGTTATACTGGTGAATGCAGAGCACTGGCAAGTGCTTCTCTCAGGACCAACTAGGCTAGGACACTGGTTCTAGACTCCAGCCTAAGGAACTCAGCTCAGCATGGGTCGAATACTGTCCTCTAAAGCTCAGTGTAGAATGTACTTAATTTTCCATCCTTCCCCCAGGGTAGCTTGCCTTGCCTCTGAGGGGACAGGCACAGGCTGGATTCAGAGGTGTGGTCTGTTCTGCCAGTAATCCCATAATCCAGGAACAGTGCCTGCTGAAAGGGATGTCAAGGTTAGGATTAAGGTTTAGGAGAAGGGTAGGGAGAGGGTCTCCTGGGACCTGAGGTGGTAGAGGCAGCCTTTCCGAGAGAGCCAGTGCTGCTGTTCAGAGTCTTCTGCTGCCTGTGGACACTGGGGATTTTGAGACAAATGAGAAGATTCTTAGGAGAATCAGCTTGTTTCTTCAGGTCGATGGCAAAGCCCCAAGGGTAGGATTATCTAATTAAACAGTAATTACAGGGCTCTGAAAGAGAAGGGAGAGGTTTCTTGACTCCAGAGCTCCCCACGGAGTGAGGAGAGGTGACAGATGCTGAGGGAAGATGAAGGAAGGAAGTTAGAGAGAAGAGGAGAGTCTGCTGGGCGCATCCAGAACAGAAAGCTCTCAGGTGAACATGCTCTGCTTACTGGAGAAAGATCACACTGAGTGCTGTTCTGAGGAGAAAAGCAAAGCTCATGCCAGACTCTTTGCTTGGGACAATGACAGCGAAGGCTGCAGAAATCCCTCGGATGTCATGAATAAAGTCAGTGGTTACCATATGACCGGGGGTTTCACCCACATTAACAGGAGGCAAGGACTCCAACAGTGACCTGTGGCCCATGTTCACAATGGCACACCCCAACTGCAACATGGATGAACAGTCTATCCACGCTCTGGATGCTATCCAGGTTTAGGGAGGAGGAAATCAGAGACTTGTCACAACACAAACGAACCTTGGGGCCATTACACTAAGTGACATTAGCCAGACACAAAAGGACAAATATGTGACCCATGTGTGTGGAGTGGCTGAAACAATCACATTCTGAGACAGACCACAGAAAGGTTTTGCAAGGGTGTGGAGATTGGGAATCAGCGTTTAAAGGTCAGCACAGATAGAAAGAGAATACCAAGATGAAGGACATGTGTCTAGTCCCTAATTCTGGAGCTCCTTCGGATGCTATCTCAGTCTGAGAGACTCCATTTATCTCTGATAGATGCTGGAAAGAATTGATGTGAGGGCCAGGAACTTAGCACGTGTGAAGGGGCAGAGCGCGTTCCATTTCCACATGGTTGAGCAACAGAGACCTAATTCTTGAGGATTGCAAACAGTCTTTGTATTTTTCCATGGTGTTTGTCTAGCTTCACCTAAAGGTCAGCCATTGTTATAATAAGACATGTATAATGTCAGACATTGTTCTAATCAGTATTGGGTTGGAGTCTGTGCAGAACCAGGACAATAAAGCACACTTTAACCTTAGTCTGACCCCTGTGCATCCTGGATTGACAAGGGTGGAGGAGGCAGGTGGTAAGGGTAAGGTATCTTACTCAGTGCAAACTTGAGTTTCTGAGAACCGGTAGAAGGAAAAGCTCACAGGTTCCCAGAAGCAGCTCCACATTGTGAACTGGTTTCCAGGGGAGTTGTGGACTCAGGTGGAGATGGGAGTGTGTTTCATGGAGAGGCTGTTTCTGCTAGGAGGTACTGGGCCACAGAGTTGGGAGTATCCTCTCCTGACAATGGGGAGGTGGGGTGGAGGAAGCTGTGATCTATAGCCCCTGGCTGTGGGCCGTGGGCTGAAGAACTGGGACCTTGGCTCCAGTTCCCTGGGTTGGTTCAGTAGGGAGGAGGGAACCTGTTATATTGCCTCCTGTCTAGACTTGGTCTCCTTCCCAAGCCTGTACTGATTGGGAAGGCCAGACCAGAGACTAGGGCTAGGAAGAGAGCTCTGGGCCCTTCAAGCCCTCCTGGAGAATTCCTGACTTTACACAAGTGTGAAGCTCTAAAGATATGATAAGGCTTTCAATTTTTAATACTTGGAAAGTCCCCAGACAAACTGTTACTTTATGAGAGGGTGGACTTTCAGAGCTACCAGAGGCTCTGGCCTCCATTCCCAAAACAACCCATTATTAGGTGACCATCCCTGGGCAGGTGCAAGCCTCTCCCCACCTTCTGCTGCTTCACCAGCACCTGGGGAACAAAGAACAGAGGTCTGCTTGCATGACAAGGCATGCAGGAGAGTGAGGAGTTGAGGATGAGTGGACACCCAGAGTTGACGTGTCTCAGAAGAAGTCAATACAGTAGCATAGCAGGCAAACTTAGGAAAAGATGTCCAACATCTCGGATCACTGGGGCAAATGTAAATCAGAAGTACAACAAAGCTGGGTGTGAGGCCACACACCCATGATTCTAGCCCATGGGAGGCTGAGA